AATACTACACGGGTGGTTAGGTTGATGTAGTATTTGATATACGAAGATCATGTCTCCCCGTATTCGCCGCTATTCAAATGAATGGGGTCCGCGGATATGCAGTCTTTCACTCTTAGGTTTTATATGGTAACCCTTTGACCATTTTTGTTGCTGTTCGGACGATCGGGTGCTTTTTGATCGTGAATTAGTATTGGCTTCCCAGCTTATATAGCATGCTCGGTGTTTGGTCTAATGTGTTCTGATGGCATACGGAGAATACGTCTGCGTCGAAGGATCCAAACACATGTTTTACTAAAGAAACCTGCTTTCTTATCTTTGATGACATGAACGCAATGCGTGGAACATTCAAGATCTTTACGAACAATAACTTTCAGGCCTTCTTTTGGAGCACACGGTAAAGGCTAATCCCCAAGTACGTATGGAAAGCAATCCCTGTGACGCAACAATACAACCTTGCATGTATCAACATTGAAATCGATGTCATTAGTAATAGACCATCGGTGGGCTGCATGGAGAGTTTCCTGTAGGATTCCATAAGCTTCATGATGCTATATCGTTTTCTGTGTTTTGGCATCGTCATCAACAATGACATCTGGTAAATCGTTCACGAATGCTAGGAAAAGGTACAGACCAAGTACGGATCCTTGTAGAAGTCCACGGACAGCCTCTGTTGGTCCCGATAGAGAACCAGTAACTCGAACCGATACGGTACAGTACGTTGTCAAAGATATTCCTCAATCCAGTTAAGGAGCTGTCCTCGAACACCGTAGCTATGGGGCTTTCGCAGCAATATACGGTGGTTAACCCTGACAAAGGCCTTGGAGAGATTCAAGTAGAATATCTCTAATGTCTCCATTTTGTCGATTCATCTTATCCACTCATCTCGTGCAAATAGCAGATTTGTGGTGCCCGACAGTTTTCTTCTAAACCGGTGTTGGACCGGCGAAAAAATGTCACGCTTCTCGAAATGCTCCATCAGAGAATGAGCAACAATTGATTCCATTACCTGGACGGTAGTTTGCAGAAACACTTCGGCAGCCACCTTTGTAAATGGATGAAATGATACCCTGTTTCCAGGACTGAGGAATCACCATCTTGTCGAATATGCTTTGGCATAAATGAGCGATTATTTCAGATATGTAGTTTGCCAAGGGGATCAAAGTCTGTGGGCGGACATTGTCTTCCTCTTGGGATGAATTCTTACGCAATGTCAATAGTTTCAGATTTGAAGGTGACGGTAGTCAATAGGGGTTATGGAATACTTGTCAGAATATATGGAAGCTGGAGTCCTACTTTGTCACCTACAGCGAACACTTAATCGAACTGGACCTATAGGAATTCGACTGCTTTAGACGTAGTAGTGGAAGCTCGTCCTACATGCCCTAATGCTGGCATTCCCTATTTCACTCTTCCGGTGGTATTGATATGCTTATATAGGAGCTTTGGGTTGAAAATAAATTTGTGCTAGGGTTTCTGGAAACCTCTATTTTTATCCTATCGCACTAATTTTGCACCTCACAGTAGAGTTGATACCGGTTCTTAACCTGGGCGACTCGAGACGATGCGAGACTCTGTGGATGATAGACGACAGAACGGCAGAATAGTAGGGAGGCGGGATCGCGAGGAAACTCAGCAAGGGGTCGGAGGTTACGATAAATCCAAAGCCCAAAGGCTGAACAGGAAAGAAACACTCACATGAAAATAAAACTAGAGCGGCTGGCAAACTTTGTACTATCATCGTGAATTTATCGGGACCATTTGAAGTCCATAAACATCATCCAAGTGAGAAACCAGATTATGTGTGTCACATATATCCTAAAAGGCATCAAATGTTCCTAATGAGTCTGCCTCTAGTTGCAACTTTGATAAAAGTGACAGCTTACCGGCACATCGCCTTGTGTGTTCCAATCTCACCACCAGAACCTAATTTTCCGATTCATTATTACATATTCGAATAACTCTGGAATTCACATTATTAGAAACTGGTTTTAGAATTGTAATAAATTCAACAGGAGAAGATTCGTTTATTATCATTTTATCATTTCCTTTTCATCGCGGAGATTAAAAAACTAACTGAATATATGTCGTTTTCCCAAATGCAACTGATATCTTTTTATATACTGGTCACAATGGTCGGAACGGTTTGGTTCATACCTGCAAATTAGGAAATTCCTACCACTACTTGGTTCCAACGGGAAATTGACCTCATCATTCGAAACATTTACTGTTACTATTGAGGCAAGATATAGAAGAAAAATGAACAAACAAGAGGCTTTACGTGACTAAGAGATAACGAAAAATGAGCGTTTTATTTTTTCAACCAAGTGATAAAAAGCCAAGACGAAATAGACCATGCGGTTCCTGCTTTCGTGCAAATTTGCATGAACTGAAGAGAAATGATCGGAATCAACAGTTCTGTCACTCAAATTTGTTCACTCCGGAGAATGTGGGTGCGTTGCTTTGTTTTTCAACCAATTTTGAGCTTATGGATGAGCCAAGGAAAAATCGATTCCTGGTTCATCTCATCATGAAACATTTCTAGTTTCTATATTTTCTCCATCGCCCGACATTCGTACAATACAGGTTTTTATGAGGTTGTAATATAACAACCAGTATGCGAATGACTAGACGAAATTGTTTAGGAAGCTCAACACTTGGTTTGCTGTCCCTTATCCAGGAGGGTGTAACTGGGATTGCATCATCACGTTCTCTCAATAGTTTGTCTGCAGCATTGCACGAATCTGGTGAGGCAGCCGGATGAACAATGCTGAGGTTAGGGGCAGAGTTTTAGGTAGCTGCGGTCGTCCACTGGAGCAAATGGTCGACCTCCGTAGATTACGTCGGTTGGGGCATGTGTTACGCCTGGCACCAAATAGGATGCCACGGCGAGCGATGTTCGCCGAGGCAGGTGGTGGGTGGAAAAAAGCCAAGGGTGGTCAAGCTAGGACCTGGAATGAATGTATGAAAACCCTAACCAGCAGTCTGGGACACACAGATCGCGTTAGGCTCCCTGGGTGGAGACCTCGGGATGATTGTAACCGATGGTTGGAGACACCGAGCGATGTGATTGAGTGTCGTAAACAGTGGCGTTCGTGCATCTTAATTTCTTTGCAATCATAGACCACCGAAGCTTTCCATTTTATGGTCGACTTTACTTTCAACCTTCCTGTCTTTCTCCTACTGTTAATCCAAATGTGCAGTCAAAAGACAGCAACAAAAACCGCCGCACGATAGTGCATGGTTAATGGTTGTACAAACTGAAGCTGAGTTTTGCGGCCGATAAATAAATTAGACTTTGTGGGACAAGTTTGAACAAGCCCATTCTGAAAGAACATAGTGACGTACACAGAAGTGCCTAGCGTCAGCAAGTCAAAGAGGGTACTGATTCCTAATGACAGAATAGGGGTGGATCCGCACTATTTCGGTCTATCGTTGTCAAATGAACGGTTAATCTTACTTGACCTAGCCGGGCCCTAGGTGATTCGTCACTCCAAGTCCCGGGGCTTAGATTGCCGAATAAAATCACTAAGCAGTAGGTCTTTGTGGCTGTGTGGTCCCTCCTCGTCTGCTGTTCTTCACACAGTGTTGTGTAATAAAGTGATGTAAACTTGTGCCCCATTTTGGTGCATCACTTCATGAATTGAAATACGTTACTAAGTGTATCAGCAAACTGCTAGCTACAGGACAATCTGATTTCGAATGAATATATGCATGCAAAATGTTCGTTTGACGACAAGCCATGCGGTCCTTTTGCACACATATATCTCTGGGTCAGGCCGTTTAGTAATCTACTGAACAACTCAACCGTAAATGTGAATTTGGGCTGATTTGAGCTACCCGTGTCTCATCAATAGTGCCAGCCAATTCACCGATGCAGCTGTGAATTGAACTCGGGAGCTCAGGGTTAAACCATAAGTGCACTACCTGCTTAACCACCGATTCGTTTTCACTTTGTACTTACACGATATGACGCAACCCATCTTTGCAAGCTTCCGGCTTCTAGTGTAACGATTCGTCAACCTTTTTTTACCTAGGAGTAGTGGGGGATCTGATTCCATTATATATATATATATATATA